CTCATTTGGTCCACATTTATGAAGTTTTGGCATGATGCTCATAATACACGGGCTCCGCGAGTTGAAAATCGGAAATTGCCTTTGCCGTTTTTCATCACTCGGCTCCTTCAGCACAAGGGTTTCGTTGTTCCTCCCCATGAACCAAAAGGCGACAAAATTAAAATTTTTACCCAGCGCCGGTGGATTAATGTTCTGAGCCATTCTAGTACCCCTCCGCCTCCTGCCCCCCTGTTCATCCACGCTCCACCTCCTCCCCCTTCTGAGGCGGTTTCCACCGCCGCAGCCACTGCAAGGGTAGAGCCTCCGGTCGACTCTTACCAGGACCAGGCTTTCATCCGGGCTTCCATTTCCGGTATTCATGAGCGACTAGATCGTTTTGAGAATTCTTTGTCCGCGTGCACTCAGACTCTGTGTGAGACTTCTTCACGTGCTGAAGAAGATCGTCGTCTTGCTGCTGAAGACCGCCGTGTCGCTGTTGAGGACCGTCGTTTGGCTTCCGCTGAACGGCGTAAGACTCAATCTCTCCTCCATTCCATCCTCGCCCGTTTACCTTCTGGACAGTAGCTTGTTGCGAGTGTGGACCTTCTCTTTGTGTTTCATCTGTAACTATTTCTCTTGTATCTTTTGTTTTCCTTTTAAACTGTAAGAATTTGCTATGTATAGGTTGCTCTGGTCGACATGATCCCTGTACAGCTCTTTTTGTCATCATGTAAACTCTTTTTGCAATGCAAATTCTTTATGTTCTGTTAACTTTCGCTACATTCTTTTTCTGTATTTATGCTTGTGCTATTAATGCTGTTTGTGGTTGTTTCTTTTTGTTCTTCATGTTGCTCTCCAGGTTACGCAGTCCAATTCAAGTTTGGGGGTTTTTGTCTCAAAATGCCGTTCCCTTCCCCTGGGTATTGTTGTTCCTTTTATACTCTTTGTCCTTTTTGTCTCTAACTTGCATCCATGTCCCACATAGAGGACACTGTGTAGTTTAAGTTTGGGGGTGCATCAAAGCATTCTTGGCATATTTTTGGTTCCATAATTTTTGCTAAGCAATGATAGTATAACTTGACACTTGTCGGAGATGAAACATATGTTTAATACCTTGTGTATAGAAGCAATTGAAATTTTTGAAAATAAAGAAAAATTTGAGTTTAAATGATCATGTAGATTCAAACTAGTCTGTATAAATGTTTCAATTAGATTCTTGCTGGACTCTTATAAGCTTCACAATGCACAGATGCACATTGGAAACTTAACTGTGAGGCATGCAGCTGATTAACCTTGACCTTGGCCTAGTTAATCTGATTTGATGGACCTGATAGATGAATATCTTTGGCATGATTTAAGTCATTAAAAAAAAAAAATGAAAAATGACCAGTTGACGTTCGTAGCCTTTCCAACTCGAGCTATTAAGCCCTTTGGAGTGTCTCTACACTTAACACCCTAAAGCCGTCTGGTTTGGGAGTTGTTGGCCTAACGCTTGCTACAAGGGTTGGTTAGAAAGCTTAAAGGACTTGAACATTGCACGGTCATTCAAAAAAAATTGTAATAAACATGGTTAGCTGAAGTTCGTAGCCTTTCCAACTTGAGCTATTAAGTCCTTTGGAGTGTCTCTACACTTAACACCCTAAAGCCGTCTGGTTTGGGAGTTGTTGGCCTAACGCTTGCTACATAGGTTGGTTAGAAAGCTTAAGGGACTTTAGCATTGCACAACCATTCTATGTTTCGCTTATGTGTTGAAATAAATTGTTAACAAGCAACAAAAGTTGTCTTGAAAATAAAATCATGCCTTAGGGACTTCATGTAAAAGGGAATTCATTGATTTGAAAACTTGTGCCTTGGAATTGGACAAGAAAGTAAAAGCCGCATGTTGAGAATCCAATTCACTTTCACTGGAGTTTGAGTTATTTCCATTTAAGAGATAACAATTGAATTATTTATATGGACTATGATGTTGATGCATGCATGTTGAAATGGTTTTTCCCATTTTTTGTATCAATGCTTCATATATGCAAGGTAGTTTTTCCAATGACCCCATTTCTAGTTTTTGTCTGTTTCAAGTTGTATTTGAGCTATGTATCTATCTCATTTTACCATGGATGATATTTTTGTAGTAGCATGCCCATGGTTGTCTTTTCAGTATGTTTTTCATTGTAGTTTTGCTAAGGGACTAGCAAAATGTAAGTTTGGAGGTGTGATAAGCGCCGAATATTGTATATTCAAGCGCCCTAAATTACATTAACAAAGTCCAGTTATTAATTATTTTATGTAGATTAACTCCATTTGCATGTTCTTATGCATTTTCAGGTTGAAGTGCAAAAAGGAAGCAAAAATGAGGCCTTGTGGAATTTTGAACAAAAAGGATGCCATTTCTGAATTTCTGGCAGCAGTGATCCTGACTTTTGTCGCCATTTTCGACCTAGCAAACTCAAGAACTAGACTTCCATCATAACATGAAAGATTTAGATCTCTGAATCAGCTTTCCAAATCTTCAAGTGGTTCATCATTCGGAGTTCGGAGCAGAGAGTTATGAACTTCATAACAGAGGTGCGCAGAACTGCCTGGCAGCACTGATGTACTGCCTTTCTCCCCATTTTCGACCAACCAGACTTGAGAATTGGGTCTTCATCAAAACATGAAGTTTTTAAAGCACTGAATCAGCTCTCCTAATCTTTAAACAGATCATCATTCGGAGTTTGGGGTACAAAGTTATAGCAGTTTTCCCAAAATAGGTCAGCGCTGAGCAAGAGGAGCATGTTGCACATTGCACTAAGTTAGAGTGCTCGAGATCACCAAGCGTGTGCTCGAAAATCAGGCAGAATGCCCTTCGGAAATGGTTCATTTCAGCCCACTTGCACATTGGTTTCCTCAATGCCATCTTCCTTCTTTATGAAGTGGTTGGAGGTATTCCTTGGAGGAGAGAGGGTGTTGTTAGAGCATAAAAAGCTACCCAAGGGCCACACATTAGGGGGCTGGGATTTTTAGAAGATAGAGGAGAGAGAAGAGAGCAAGAAGAAGAGGGTTCTTGGAGCAAAAGGAAGGGAGCTCGAAAATGGAGGAAAAGGGCAAGCTTCTTCCTTCTCCTAGCTCACTCATGGGTAACTAAACCTCATCTAGGGAGGTGATGAAGCCTCCCCTTTTGTTCATGTTCTAGATTAGGTTCTATTTTGGGGATTATAATGTATAAACTTTGGTCTTTTCATAGTTTAGGAACTTATTACTTCTTGTAATGAACATTCATGTTTAAATGATTGATGTGAGTTATTTAGCTTGTCTTGATGATTCTTACATTAGTCTTATTGCTTTTATTTTCATAGTGACAATGAAGATATTAACTATGAATGGTTTTCAAGGCATGTTAATTTTGAAACTTGATATTCCATTGCTTAGGTACCTCCTTTGATGGACTATGCTTGATTCTTACTTTCATGTGCTTCATCATTTGATTGAATGCTTGATGGTCTTTTGCTTAAGTTAATGTATTTGATACTACACCCTAATCTAGGTAGTCCAAATGTGTTGTCTTTTGATAGACCATTCTTGTTTTAATCTCATGAACTCTTTATTGGTTATGAAGCAACTATGTGTTGCTACATAATTCTCGATCATTGCTTATATAGTGTTTATCCCCAATTTAGTCTTGATTTAGCATGTACTTAGGGCGTAGGTGGATTCACTTCTCTAGTTTCCCCTTTTATTATCTCTAACTCTCATTTACTAGCACTACTATTTTATGCATTCTAAGTTCTAAGTTTAAGTGACAAACAACCAAAAACCCTCTATAAACCCATTATCATTCTGAGAACAATTCTAGACACCTAGGTTGCCATAGACTAGCGCAGTCTCAGTGGTTCGACTTACCCGACCAATAGCCCTATTTTACAATGATTCGTGCTATTGCGAAGGTTGATGTATGATTGACCAACCGATCACTAATTTCTTTGAATATTGAATCAATTTGCGTGATTTGTGTTTGTATAAATGCAAAAAGTAAAGTTTCTAATCGGATCTAATTTATCGGATCGAACATCCAATAAAATGAGTATTGGACATGGATCAACTAGAGAAGAATTCGTCGGATTATCAGATCGGATCACTCAGTTTACTTATCGGATTCGAATCAGATCGACCATGATCTGGTCCGAATCCAATCCGTTGACAGGTCTAGTTATAAGCTTGGGATAAGGTTGAGTAAGATGAGTTGTCTCATTTTGATTGGTTGTTGGGATTGTTAGCTGCCACATCATCAACTTAAGTGTATTACTCTCAAAACTGCGTAGTTTTAAATAATGGTAAATGCGTCTTTTGATTTTTTCAACCAGGTTAGTTGCGGATTGTCCTTAAATGCAACAAATTCATAGCTCAAGGGGGTTTGTTGCAATTGGCAAATAATTCAGGTTTTTTTTTTTTGGAAGAAATAAAGAAAAATTATAACAAATAAAAGAATAATTATTTACATTTAAGTTATTAATTGAGGCGAGTTCATAACTGCAAATTTTAAACTCTCTTTTCAAACTTGTCACACGTTTCAGAAGGGTCGAAACAAGGTTGTTTAAATTGACTTACCAGTTAAAAGTCTCGATTCATGTCTCCTTTTGAAACAAATGAGGATGGGAATTTTTTACCAAGAAAACAAAAAAATCAATTTAACTAGATCACTTTGCATTCCTTTAGTCCATTATGAATTTAATTGTAGTCAACGCCCCCCACATGAACTTGTTTTGAATTTAAACTTTGTCAAAACATTCTGAGTTTCTAACCCAAAATATTTTAGGCCCAACCAGTAAAGTAGACATTCATTGAGGCCCAACCTTTATTTTGAAACGTGGCATTGATTCATTCGCTGTCAACCAGTAAAGTATAAAAAAAGGTTGGATGAATTAAAAAATTAAAAGAAATTTTGAACGGTAACTTTTGGAGGATTTGGTTCACCACTAACGGCTAGAAAAAGTACAATCTACATTGAAAAGGAGAAGCGCTGCAGATGATGGTGATCCAACGGTCTAAGTTTGAAAGGGAGAAAAAGAGACGTTGAAAAGGAGAAGCGCTGCTTCATAGATTAAAGCAAATATTGTATGGTAACTCGGAAAGAAATAGAAAAAGAAAGCAGAAGAAGAAGAAGAAGAAGAAGAAGACGAATTCGAAGAGAGAGATCAATTAAGCATTGGTTGGACTTAGTGGGTCTCAAGAGGTGGCGACCGAAGGAAACATAGAAGTAGGCGGCGAGACGCTTAACAACCGTCTCCAATTGTTTTTGTCGTCTCTGTTGGCGAGTCTTGGAGGGGTCTTTGGCAATAATCAAGAACAGAAACACTCGTCAGAGATGGCTTCCAAAGCTGTTCTTACTCAACAACCCAAAGGTATTATATTAATTTCTGTTCTTTCTTGACATTCATTAATTTAATTTTCATTCCGGAAAAAAAGTCGCTTTTTTTTTGTGTGGGTTTTGTTGATTGATCTTAGTAGTGAATTCGGACAGGGTTCTCTGGATTTGGGTTTTGTTTATTGATTTTAGTAGTGATTTTTATAGGGTTCTCTGGACTTGGGTTTTGTTGTTTTGATTTGGTTTCTTCTGGGTTGTCTCTTGGTAGTGGTTCTTTTGTGTTCTCTGGACATGAAAATTTCTGGGTTTCTCAAAAAGTTGATCCAAACACACACAAATATATATATATATATATATATATATATATATATATATATAGAATAGAAATGTTTTGGTTTCTTGTGGGTTGTGCTAATTGATTGTCTCTTGGTAATGGTTCTGTTGGGTCCTCTGGACATGAAACTTTCTGGGTTTCTCAGAAAGTTGATCCAAACACACGCACACCATATATATATATGTGTGTGTGTGTATGTATGTATGTATGTATTTTTTTGGTTTCTTGTGGGTTGTGCTGATTGATTGTCTCTAAGATGGCAAATGCAGAGAGCAGTGTTATGATGAGTAATTTCTTTCTCATTACTGTAGAAATGCCCAATTTCTTTCTCATTTGTATCCATGTATGATGATTGCTAATATTTGGTGAATTTTGACTTTAATTGATTATTTGGTGATCCATATAATTTATATTATTTTGAGGGATTAGTCACTTCTTGTCTATGGGGACACTTAATTCGATGAAACCTAAATTGTTAATAATTTGTTTGGATATTATGAAAGATGAAGAAAAAATTTGATTTTTATGGAATTTATAAAAGAAAGAAAGAAAGAAATCAAAATTCTGATCCCTTATAATTAATTAGGGGGAGGAAAGCTGAAGAATGGACAAGCAGCGGCAGCAGAAGGTAGAAATCGCCGAGTTCTGAGAGACATAGGGAATCTTGTCACTGCTCCAGCTGTAGAAGGGAAGCCCCAAGCCCCAATTTCTCGTCCCAACACAAAGTCAACACAAGTAGCAGCAGCTGAGAAGGTCAACACAGTCCCTTGTGAATGAATACTAGTATTTCATTGACTCTTTTCAAGTACTAATACACTGATTTCTGTTGATTTGCAGAAACCACTTACAGAAATTGGCATTGCTGTTAATGGAAAGAATAAAGAAACTGACAAGCTGAAACCCAGTACAGTAATTGGGTTAAAAAGCCACAATGATCATCATCATGTCATGTCTAAAGAGGAAAAGCAGAATAGTGGAAGAAAATCAAGAGCAGGGTTCTTGAGGAAGCCGGTCAACACCCTCACATCAATTCTCACTGCTCGAAGCAAGGTTCTTATTTAATCAATTCCATTTTTTTAGTAGCTTCGTGGGCTATTTGATAACCATCGGAGAGTCCAAAGTGGCTAACGGATGGGTTAATTCTTCGTGACCAACCAAAAGAACAAAAAAAAATTTCAAAAATAAATCCAATTTTTAGTTGTTATCTTGAAAAAAATCCAATTGTTGCTTGATTTGATCAACTTCAGGCTGCTTGTGGACTTACCAACAAACCAAAGGATCCCATTTCAGACATTGATGCAGTAGATGCTGATGATGAATTGGCAGTTGTGGAGTATGTTGAGGACATCTACAAGTTCTACAAGCTCACAGAGGTATTATTGCATTGTATTGCTAGCTCTACAAGTCTCCCTCTCTGTGTGTGTTTGTAGTTAATGGAAATTGTGCCTGTGCAGGTTGAGAATCGAGTTCATGACTACATGGTTTCACAGCCTGACATTAATTCCAAAATGAGAACAATTTTGGTGGACTGGTTGATAGAAGTCCATAGAAAGTTTGAACTAATGCCCGAAACCCTCTACCTCACCATAAACATAGTGGACCGATACCTTTCCATGGATAGTGTTTCAAGAAGGGAACTTCAGTTGGTTGGCATCAGCTCAATGCTCATTGCATGCAAGTATGAAGAAATTTGGGCACCTGAGGTCTTCTTCTCTCTTCTATCTATATTTATTTTATACATGTCGACGAAAACTAGTCTTAATTGCAGCTAAATTTAAACAAACTGTGTGTTTTGGGGGTCTTCGCAGGTTAATGACTTTGTTGCAATATCAGATAATGCTTATGTTAGAGAACAGATACTTTTAATGGAGAAAGCAATTTTGGGAAAGTTGGAATGGTATTTAACAGTTCCTACGCCATATGTGTTCGTTGTTCGGTACATAAAAGCTTCTTCTGATTCACCCCATCAGGACAAGATGGAAAAAATGGTGTTCTTCCTAGCTGAACTTGGACTTATGCACTACACAACCAGCATAATGTACTCCCCATCAATGCTTGCTGCCTCGGCTGTCTACGCAGCACGATGCACCCTCAACAAGAGCCCTCTTTGGACTGAAACTCTGAAGCACCATACAGGCTACTCTGAAGACCAGTTGATGTATAGTATTTATAACACACAATCAGTATTAGTATAGTATTTATTACACACATTGTTGCTATGATATAATTTTATGGCTTTTTGATTAATATTGATTAATAATTATGTACTAACTAAACTGGGGTGTGTTTGTTTGGCATGTAATGTAACAACAGGGATTGTGCAAAGCTGTTGGTTTGCTTTCACTCAGGTGCTGCAGATAGTAAGCTCAAGGCTGTTTACCGGAAATTCTCGAGTCCAGATGGAGGTGCTGTTGCTCTTTTTCCTGCAGCCAAAAGTCTTTTGCTGGTTTCGTCTTTGGGAGCTGTTATTTGAGATCATGTTGCAGTTATGATCCCTGCCTGGAAATATGATTGGATTTGCTTTTGATCACAAACACATTGTCTATCTTCTGATAGTAGTTGCAACTTGGATTTTGATCTTTGCAACTTGTGTTTCAAGGGTTTTGCTTCATGTGTTGAATTCATATTTGTATATTTTTTTAAAAGTTGAATTCTTATTGTTGTTAATGAGATATTACTACTTGAAAATATTTTTAAATATTTTTGCAATTTTGAGGCAGAACTACTCTCAAGTGTCCTCCAAATTCTGATTTTTCAACTCATGCTCAACCCTAATTCAGAAATTGAAAGTTTGGTTGTGTGAAAGTTGAATTTCATTTAATTGAACCCTCATAGAAGTGTTGCACATCTTGTCTCCTTATTGAAAATCAGAAGGAAAAAGAAGAAGGAAAGTTCTTTTAATTGACAATTCTTTAAACACTGATTTTAAAAAGTATTACTTTATATATAGTTCTCTAAATACTAGTTTCTTTTTTTAGTTTTATTATTTATTTTATTTATCCTACTATTTTCTACCTTTTAAAATTGCTAAAAAAGGTTTCTTTAATTATCATCCAACTCATAACCGTCTAAAAGTGGTGGATTTTAGACTAGTGGTTTGCGTCCACTTCCCAATCTTCATGACTAGTGGTTTGCCTCAACTTCTTCAACCATCATATGGGAAATGTCTCATTTAAACTTTTTGTAATATCAAGAATATTATATCTTTTTTATATTCCAATTTTTACATGCATATACAATTTTAATCGGAGAAAAAAACATTTTTCTTTTTTAAAATTTTTGTGAGAAACAGAACGAGAGCAAAAGATGTGGCTTGCTTTGGATCGTTGGATGGAGTCTTGAAAATATTGAAGGGGATCCAAATCTGAAAAACAGCCACACAATTTAACATAGGAGGGAACATTAAAAAAAATATTACAGAGAAACTTGTTAGAAATTGATGATATATGAAAACTAATGTTAACATGTGCCAAATGACTCTAAAAATAAATAACTAATAAAGAAATATTGATGTGCCAAATTACCTTAGAATGCTTTCATAATATTTTTTAGAACCAAATACTCCATTGTGGACCACAATTTTTGGATTAGGGAAGGAAAACTACATTTAAGTAGATTTAGGAGTCTTAAATAACAAAAGTTAATATTATAATTTGGTCAAGTTAGGTAAAATAATTACATATGCATAAATAACTATTATTTATGTTCAAAATATCTTCCATACTCTTATTTCAAAATATCAAAATATCCTTCATAAATCAAATAATTCTTTGATTCATAAAATTTAAAAAAACAAGATTTTTGAGTTCACTTTGAATTTGCCATTTTTGCATATGATGTATATATTACCAAAATAAAAAACAGCATATATGGTGATTGCGGACCTGCCATAGTGCCCATGCACGGGTTGTGGTCCAAAAATGGCAACCCACATGGTGATACAACAAAAATTGTGGCCCACAATGGGTATCCAGCGCCGTGTATTTTGGTGATTTTGGCCATAAATGGCGACCCAATTAGTCCATTGCGGGTTGCCATTTGGGGGCCACAATTTTTATAGCTATTTTTGGCATTGTTTAGCTGATTCAAACACTATATTGGTCCAAAATTTTATTTTATTTTATTTTTCCTAACAAAATGAATTTTTTTTTAATTAATGAATTTTTTATTTTTAAAAAAAAAATCTACCTCTTTTCACCTTTATAAATAAATATATCAAATGATAATAGGGATTAGGAATAAGTTAAAAATAAATTATTAAAAGTTTAAAAAATATTAAAATATTAATATTTTTGGAGCGCGAAAATGCACCATTGGAGCACCTGCTATAACTAAAATTTAGAGAGTTCAAAACGCCGACACAGTTCTTAAAAATGCTGATGTTTCTCTTTAAAATTAGTTACGTGACAAATTTGGATACTCAAATTTCATATATGCAATTAGAGTTGCTCTAAAATTTGGTGTTACATAAATATTGGCAAATATTTTTTTTTATTCATTTATTTTTTATTATAATAATAGAGGGCACCACTTCCACCGTTGCCACTACGACACCACCACCACCACCACCTTCAATAACCGTCACCTCCATTACCTTCCACCATCATCATCATTGTCACCACCACCGTCACTATTACCCTTTAGTACTCCATTAATAATTCTAAATTTTCATAGCTAAATATAGAAAATTTTAGTGGGAGTGAGATAGATCATTGCTTTGAAAGTGAAACTGTTTTATTTGAATATCTGCAATTACCGTAAAATCACATATATCAAATAAATAATTGAAACAAAAATTTTTCTTGATACATTTTTTAAATAAATAAATTGAATACAAGACTTGTACTCAACTATCTCGCCAAGGTATCGCTTACAAGTGTCGACTCAATCGTCGTGCATTTTCATCTAAAATGTGAACATTGATATTTGTCACAATCAGAAAGAGTTTGAGTATTTGTGATGTTTATCTGTCAAAGTCACCATGCCTTACACGACGAGTCACGAGTCCGTGCAATTCTAGTGGTTTGGTACTACCTTTATTATTATTGAGTACCACCTTTATTATTATTGAATAAACTTTAATGATTCATTTGGATAAAATAAGTTGGTTTGAAAGTTTACAAAAAAAAAAAATTTATTGAAGTTGTATATATATATATACATATATTGAAGTTCAAAGGGATATTAAATTAAAGGTACAACAGTGTGTACACGGGTGAAAATTTAAGTCCAAATTCATTAAATCATGTGAATCTGTCTACTGAAATTAAACTATTTGGAGATGCAAATTTAAGTGAGTGAGTTAATAATGAGTAAAAAGTACAACAGTGTGCATAACTGCAATAAATAACTTGGAAAGTGCAAATTGAATGCATTAATCCTTTACCCCTCCCCCCCACCTCTTTTTTTTTTTTTTAGATTAGCTGATAAAAAGTAACTTTCAATGTTTATTTGAACTTTTAAGGTTAAAACACAATTTAATTTGCAGTGCATTTTAACTCTTTTATTGATTTCCATTGTGACTGAGCAATCAGTTATGCAATTGTGTCAAGTAAATTATATAGAAAAGAATAATGATACTTGCACCGATGAGTTAGACAGAATTGTTAGGTCTATTATATATAATTAGTCATTAATGCATTAGATAAAAAAGTAAATGGTCCCACTTTTTTATATTTGGCATGCATTGATCAATCAAATTTAGTAGGCATAGAAAAATGAAAGTATACTCTATAGAAAAATGATTTGTATGCTGGATTAGAAATACTGGGTCTGGGCCCTAAGCCCCTACCACATCATGACATCACCCTATCACAGGTCATCAATCTGACATTATGTGTTGGAATCCACATCCACTCATATATCCCCTATTTTGCATATTCTGAATTTTGAAGATGTATCATAGCTTGATTATATAATTAGGTGTGATTAGCTTGATCTTTGATCACGGTAGATCAAAGGTCATGACCACGAGAAGTTTTACAACACCGAGGAGGTACCGTATTCCCTGCCTGGAAATATGATTGGATTTGCTTTTGATCACAAACATTGTCTATCTACCGATGGTAGTTGCAACTTGGATTTTGATCTTTGCAACTTGTGTTTCAAGGGTTTCGCTTCATGTGTTGAATTCAAATTTGTATATTTTTAAAAGTCTTATTGTTGTTAATGAGATATTACTACTTGAAAATATTTTTAAATCATTTGCAATTTTGAGGCAGAACTATTCTCAAGTGTCCTCCAAATTCTGATTTTTCAACTCATGCTCAACCCCTAATTGAGAAATTGAAAGTTTGGTTGTGTGAGAGTCGAATTACATTTAATTGAACCCCATGGAAGTGTTGCACATCTTGTCTCCTTATGGGAAGTATTAGTTGTACTTAAAAATGGTCTGCTGCATATTTATCTAAAACAAAAAGGTGAGATAACGTGGAAGGGGGATTTTAAGGATTGCTTGATTCATTATTGAAAATCAGAAGGAAAGAGAAGGAAGTTCTTTTTAGACTAGTGGTTTGCGTCCACTTCCCAATCTTCATACGGTTTGCCTCGACTTCTTCAACCAGCATATGGGAAATGTCTCATTTAAGAATTTTTTGTAATATCAAGAATATTATATCTTTTTTATATTCCAATTTTTACATGCACATACAATTTTAATCGGAGAGAAAAACATTTTTTTATGAAAACTAATGTTAACTGATGTGCCAAATGACTCTAAAAATAAATAAATAATAAAGAAATATTGATGTGCCAAATTACCATACAATGCTTTCATAATATTTTTTAGAACCAAATACTTCATTGTGGATTGTCATTTGTGGACCACAATTTTTGGATTAGGGAAGGAAAAAACTACAGTTAAGTAGATTTAGGAGCTTTAAATAACAAACCGGTCTATTTTTAAAGTTAATTTTTTAATTTGGTCGAGTTAGGTAAAATAATTACATATGCATAAATAACTATTTTTTATGTTCAAAATACCCTCCGAACTCTTATTTCAAAATACCAAAATATCCTTCATAAATCAAATAATTCTTTTATTCATAAAATTTAAAAAAACAAAATTTTTGAGTTCACTTCCAATTTGTCATTTTTGCATATTGTGTATATATTGCCAAAATAAAATAAAATAAAAAAGAGCATATACGTTGATTGTGGACCTGCCAAGCATGGGTTGTGGTCCAAATATGGCAACCCACAACAGGATACATCAAAAATTGTGGCCCACAATGGGTATCCAGCACCTTATATTTCGGTGATTTGGACCATAAATGGCGACCCAATTAGTCCATTGCGGGTTGCCATTTGTGGGCCACAATTTTTGGATTGGAGAATGGGCGACCCATATGGCGATTGCGGGCCTGTCATGAGCGGGCCTTTTTTTTTTCTTTTTTTTTTTTTGTTGACTTTTGTGGTCCAAACCACTGTAACTCGGAATTATTTTACTCAAAAACAAGGTTAAGGCTTGTACTCAACTATCTCGCTAAGGTATAGCTTACAAGTCTCGACTCAATCGTCATGCATTTTCATCTAAAATGTAAACATTTATATTTGTCACAATCAGAAAGAGTTTGAGTACTTGTGATGTTTGTCTGTCAAAGTCACCATGCCTTACACGACGAGTCACGAGTCCGTGCAATTCTAGTGGTTTGGTACCCCCTTTATTATTATTATTATTATTATTGAATAAACTTTAATGATTC